CACCACACAGCACACACACACACACACACACACACACACACACGCACACACGCACCACGCAAGCAGGCCAGCGTGCGACGCGCCAATGTTTACATGTTCCCATGATAGAGAAGAGACAGAGTGGCGGGAAAGAGAAGGGTGGGTGGGGGATAGAGAAATCGTACGTGGTTTAGAGATTGCAGTTTTGCTTTTGCTCATAAATACAAGTCTCTTATTAATGGGTGATCGCGTTTTGCGCATGCGCGACGCGGCCGTAACGACATCAAGATGGTTTGCTCTAGACATTAACGCAAGTCTATAGAACGTATACGAGTCCACATCCTGCTACCTGCGCGTAGCAAGTTTCCCAGTGAACGGTGTACGTGTAGTATAACTACGCTTCTTATGCATATATATAGTATATAATACATATATAAATATATACTATATATTATATATAGATTTAGATAGCAGATCAGAATATATATATATATATATATAGTATATAGTCAGCAGCAATATGCATGCGGAAAAAATGTAACCGTCTACTGCTTGGGCAGTATGGGTGAAAAGAACGTGTGCAACGTAAACACATTATCAGCGCGTAAAACAACAGAGCGAGCCGCGAGAACGACTGAACTATCGATAATCAACGACACTGATGATTGCTAATGGAAAACAACAACATCGATGAAAGCTCTACGATTCAAAAATCGTCGATGCTGAGCGTGTAACACGTGCGCTCAATTGCGTCGAATAGGTGTGTGTGGGTAATATCAGTAATATACACGTGTGTGCTCGCGTGCGTTGTATAAGTGCATGAGCGTGCGTGTGTGGTATACGTGTGCGTACGTGCGTGTAACACGTGTGCGTGCGTGCGTGTAACACGTGTGCGTAGTGCGTGTAATACGTGTGCGTGCGTGCGTGTGACACGTGTGCGTACGTGCGTTGTATGAGTGTGTGTGCGTGTAATACGTATGCGCGCGTGCGTGGTATACGTGGTGTGCGCGCGTGCGTTGTATGCGTGTGCGTGCGTGCGTGTAACACGTGTGCGCGCGTGCGTGGTATACGTGTGCGTGCGTGTAACGCGTGTGCGCGCGTGCGTTGTATGCGTGTGCGTGTGTGCGTGTAATACGTGTGCGCGCGTGCGTGGTAT